AAAAAAAAAAAAAAAAAAAAAAAAAAAAAAAAAAAAAAGCCAGCTAAGGGCATGGTTATGTTTTCCTTAGGAAGAAAAAGGACAGGTGTTTAGAAACATCTTGATGCAGAGATAGTGAGGACCAGTTAGTTTGTTCACTGCCTTTACTCAGCCTGAATTCTAGCTGAGCTGAGATCTCAGCCCTCCTTTAGTGTTTGACACAATTGTCACAAAGCCATGAGGCTTCTGCAGTGGTGCTGAGGGAGGGAGATGCTCGTATCCCATCTCTGTAAGCAGATGGCAGTGGCATGTTCCAGTGGTGACGGCACTTGGCTTGTGCTCCCCTTTCTGGGCCTTAGAGCCTGGGGTCAGCCTTTTGCCATGAAATTAAGTATCGCTACTAAATTATTGTTCTTGATATTTTTTAAAACAGGCGCTTGAATAAAATCGTTTGGCGAGCATTATCTCAAGAAGAAAAAGAAAAGTAAGCCATTCCATTCCGTTCTCACTTTTAAAAAAAAATTTTGGTGAAATTCACATAACCTAAACTTAACCATTTTGAAGTATACAATTCAGTGGTATTTTAGAGTTTTCAAAATGTTGTGCAAACTACCACCTCTTTCTAGTTTCAAAACTTTCTCATCATCCCAGAAAAACACCTTGTATCCATATCCCACTCCCCTCCTAACCCGTGATAGTAACTAGTCTGCTTTCTGCCTCCATGAATTTGTTTATTCTGAATATATCATGTGAAAGTAATCATGTAACATGTGTGTCTGGCTTCTTTCACTTAGTTAATGTAAAAACTAAATGTTTTCAAGGTTCGTACAAGCTGCAGCATGGATCAGTACTACATGTTTTATATTTATATATGTTTGTTTACTCATCCTTGCATTGGTGGGCATAGGGTGGTTTCTGTAAATGTTCGTGTATACATTTGTGTAGAAGTTCCTGTGTGGGCACATGTTTTCATTTCTCTAGGATATATACCTAGGAATGGGTTTGCTGGTCACATGGTAATCGTATGCTTAACTTTTTAAGGAACCACCAAACTGTTTTCCACAGGAGCTGCACCATGTTACATTCCCACCAGCAATGTACAGTGGTTCCTATTGCTCCACATCCTCTTGAACAATTGCTGCTTTCCTTTTTTTCTTGTTTTTAAATTAAAGTCATCCTAGTGAGTATGAAGTGCTGTTCCATCGTCATTTTGATGTGTACTTTCTTAATGGCCAATGATGTTGGACAGCTTTTCATGTGCTTGTTCGTTCGTATATCTTTTTTGGAGAAATATCTATTCAAGTTCTTTGTTCGTTTTTAATTTGGTTTGTGTTTTTGTTGTTGCGTTGTATGGCTTCTGAATATAAAACCCTTATCAGATGATTTGCCAGTGTTCTCTCCCATTTTATATGTTATATTTTCACATTCTTTGTCAATGCTCTTTGATTTCCAAAAGTTTTTAATTTTTAGGAAGTCAGTTTATCTTTTTATTTCTTTTATTGTTTGTACTTTGGGTGTCAAGTTTAAGAATTCATTGCCAAATACAAGGTCATGAAGATTAATCACTTTGTTTTCTTCTAATATGTTTATGGTGTTAGCTCATACATTTAGGCT